AAGAATCCAATCTGCCTAAAGAGGACAGCCTCCCTATGAGTCAAGGACTGCTGATGTTTCTAAGTCGCTATGGCTTTGATGTCAAACCAGAGATGGTGAGTCGTTTACTGGTTGCCATTCTCTGCTTTATACTTCCTCCATCCCAAAATGTTTGATGCCGTTGACTTTTTAAAAAATGTTTGATCGTTCGTCTTATTAAAAAAATTAAATAATTATTAATTCTTTTCATATCATTTGATTTATTGTTAAATATACTTTTATGTATACATATAGTTTTACACATTTCACAAAAAAATTTGAATAAGACGAACGGTCAAACATGTTTAAAAAAATTAACGGCGTCAAACATTTAGAGAATGAGGGAGTAGCTCCCTGTCATTTAGTGTTACATATTTAACAATGGCTAGCTTGTGAGCACACTTGGAACCCTTCATTTTTCACAAGCTTTGGATGCAATGTTTTGCAGACAAAAATGCCTTTGCTTCTTTTTTTTTTTAAGTAATGAAGCAACCTATTTCTATCCAACAGGTCAACGAGGATATTGTTAGGGCTGCAGCTACCTTGTTTCATTGTGATATTATTGAGAAGAAATGTTGTAGGGCATTGCTTGATGTTGGTCACTACCTCAAGCGTGAGTCTGGCATCGACTATGAGAATTGGGACACTTTAAAACTCGCGACAGCTTTTAAAATCATATGCAGCCGTAAAATTGGTGATTCTGATGAGGTAAAGTCATACTCCCTCCGTCCCATAATAATATAAGAGATTTTGAGTATTTACTCGCGCTGTTTGACCACTCGTCTTATTCAAAAAAAATTTGGAATTATTATTTATTTTTTGGTGTCTTACTTTATTATCCAAATTACTTTAAGCATAACTTTTCATTTTTTATATTTGCACAATTTTTTTAATAAGACGAGTGGTCAAACAGTGCAAGCAAAAACTCAAAATCCCTTATATTATAGGACGGAGGGAGTATATATATACTGAGCATGTAAATGTAATATCGGCTGCTCTCTGTGTATTCATGTACATATGCCTCCACCCATGTTGGCTGTGCGTTGTGTCTCTTGCAGATGTTTTCAGACGACGTGCAATCAAAGTTGCCGGATGATGCAGATAAATACAAAGATCTTGTATATGCACGAGATTGCCTTAGACTCTATGAAAACCTCGTGGCTGCCTATAATGTCAGGGCTGTTAAAAAGGATGAATTGGCCTTGTTGGTTAAGAGAGCTAATGCAGATGAAGCCGAACAAGCGAGGTCTATCACTACAATAATTTAGATGGATGAACCTCTTGAAGGCTAAATAATTTTTAGTTTGACATCATCAGTTGGGATAAGTGTATATATGGTATGCATGTAACTTAATGCAGATTCTTTTCAGTGTTGAGGTTGTGATCTCGGTTGGCTTAAACATTGTGCATCTTTTGTAAAGCTAAGTCTCTGGTATCTGACAAGGTCCCTGCTATCCACAGCTTTGCGTCGTTCAGCTGTCAAAAAAAATGACGTGCTCACTGTGATTAACGTGCTCGGTGATGATTGTGGACGATCTTTTTACCGTCCTTAATTGAATTTTGCATGATATATGTGATGCTTAATGTGTTCGACACAATATATAAGAACGTAGCTGCCCACTCGATTAATATTCTCAAGATATTAATCGAGAATATTCTCAAGATTCTCAAGATATTCTCAAGATTAATATATATAGAAACCTTATTATTTAAATTAAAATATTTTATTTTTATCTAATTATTGTGGTATTTATATATCTTTTCGACTTCTACGATGAATCTGGACAGAAGATCAGTGTCCACTGTAATGCTTCTACAATAAATCTGGACAGAAGATCAGCGTCCACTGCAATGCGCTCTTGCCGTGTTTCATGTCCTCCGTCACAGTTCATAGGGGTAGTACATGTACATGGGAATAAGTACCAGATTCATTATACTAGAATGTATCACATCCATCCAAAATCTTTTATATTATAAGGCAGAGAAGGCAAACACTTTTATATTATGGGACGGAGAAAGCATGTTTTCCGTGTTTCATGTCCTCCGTCACAGTTCACAGGGGGTAGTACCTAGGAATAAGTACCAGATTCATTGTATTAGAATGTATCACATCCACCCAAAATCTCTTATATTATGGGACGGAGAAAGCATGTTCTAATACCGTTGAGAACACCACCCCAAGCATCTGGCAACACTACTGGCATGTGCCGCAAGCCTTAAGCTAAAGCTTGAGGCCACAAGCTAGGGGCCTAGATAGGCAAATTTTGCTACAGAACATCGCGTCTTCGTGGTTTTAGACACTGTGAGAAGTCACTTTTAGGGAAGACACTAACAAAAGTTGGATATTTACTGGTGGACACCGTAACCCATTAAAATAATAATTTTCGGTTGGAAAGGGGAGAGAAATCATGTAAAATATTAGAAATACCCCTAGACTCATATGTCAGCTCTCCATCTCTCTTCACTCTCTGTCCTCTCTTCCTCATTGCTTGGATGTAGAGCCGGTGCAGCGTCTGCTCCAACGGCGTCAAGACCAGCGCCACCACGGTGTTCACGGCGGAGTGCAAGGCGATGACGAGAACGAGAGGGACGACGGCGATTTCTTGCGCGGCGGAGGTCGGTGGATCCAACGGCATATATAGGTGTAAATGGCGGTGGGTGATGGGACGAGACAACAGTGCATGCGTCCTTGCTGGCGAGATACTCCCTCGCGTTGACTTTTTTTAAACATATTTGACCGTTCGTTTTATTAAAAAAATTTAAGTAATTATTAATTCTTTTCCTATCATTTGATTTATTATTAAATATTTTTAACACTTTAATGTATACATATAGTTTTACATATTTCACAAAAGTTTTTTAATAAGACGAACTGTTAAACCTATTTTAAAAAGTCAACGGTGTTAAACATTTATTAAACGAGGGAGTATATCTCGTGCTCGGCTAGCTTCTGACCAGAGAGCGAGCGGCAAGCGGCGGAGCATGATTTGAGCCGGGCCGTCAGGGAGCGGGTCCCGTCCCGTGAATACGGCCTGGTGCCTTACCTTCTTGCCGGGGAAGTGACAAGAGGAGAGCGAGAGGATTCGAGAGAAGAGAGAGAGAGATGGCGGCGATGGAGGAAGAAGACGACGAAAACAAGAGAGGGAGCTGACAAATGCGGGTCCGCATGAGGAACGGCCTGGCCGTCACCGGAGCGCCGGGGTGCCCTCGCCTCCTCTGCCGCCGCATGACACATCTGTATAATGTTTAGTCTACTGTTTCCATGTTCGTCTTAATTTCTCCCCGACGAGCGCGACGGCTTCGCCACCATGGTGGACGTGATCGCCGCGGCGCCGAGGCCGAGCTACCTGTTCGGTATGTTGGTGAAGACGGAGACCAGGCCGGTCGAGCTCAAGCTGCCTGAGCTCGGTCAAGAGCGACCTCATCAAGCTGGGGCTCTCGCTGTCGTTCTCGCCGGAGGCGGCCGACCTGCGTGGGATGTACGTACGAGGACGACGGCGACAGCGGCGGCTGGCCGACGTTCCTGACCAAGGTTGCCCAGATGGCGATCGTCAAGGTGAATGAGAAGGGGACCGAGGCGGGTGCGGCCACCTTGCGCCTGCGCGGCGGTGGCGGGTCACCGCCGGACATGGTCGAGTTCGTCGCTGATCACCCGTTCACATTCTTCATCATGGAGGAGCGGTCCGGGGTGATCGTCTTCGACGGACTCGTTCTCGATCCTACCAAGTGATCAGCATTAGTCTCGCATTTGGTGCTGTTCGAGTTGCTATCTGAATTACTTTATGATATGTTATTATGTCCTCTTGGTTTTCGGTATCATTTGTTTTTGAAAGTTTGGAGAGATTGAGTTGATATGTTATTATGTCCTCTTGGTTTTCGGTAATATTTGTTTTTGAAAGTTTGGAGGGATTGAGTACCTGGTAACACACTTGTGAGTAGTGATCAAGTGTTCCTTCTGCGAAACTAGCTAGTACAATCTTAACCTCATTTTTCAGGACATGGTCTGCAATAGGTTGTTTTGAAAGAACACGACGGGACATGATCCTACGTTTCTGTGGAACATGCCAAAGGCTGGCATGGATCAGGTGCGGACTGCCGAACTGCAGAAACATGTAAGATCTATTCGCTTGATCATAGGATTGCTCCGAATTTTTCCAAAACATAATTTCGGCAACCAAATCCTTAAAGAAAATTTGATAAAGCAGAATAAGTGAATAACTGTGACAAAATTGTCTCACATAAAAGAGTAATGATACCATAATTATCAGAAGCAGCTAGTACTTATCGTCATTTCAATAAACAAGCAAGTGCAACCAGCTAGTAGTATATAATCCCTCTATCTAATTTTGATAGTCATATTTCCAAATCAACCGTAGGGGACCGAGGTGGCCGCAGTCACCGTGCGCCTGCGTGGCGGTGGCGGGCCACCGCCGGACATGGTCGAGTTCGTCGCCGACCACCCGTTCACCTTCTTCATCATGGAGGAGCGGTCCGGGGTGATCGTCTTTGCGGGGCATGTCCTTGATCCCACGGTGTGATCGTCAAGTGACATTGTTTAGTGAAGAGATAGCTGCTTGTCTAGTTATATCTATAGTTACTGTTTAATTTGAGATGATTCTGGCTCAATTATTCTGCTGATCAATTTTTTCTCTTTAAGGATTTGGTTTAAACTTTATTTTTAATCAGAGTGGTCCTACTTTTGTTTTGGAAAATTTCGAAGTAATCCTGCTGAACATGCTCTCTGAAGTCTGAAGACTGATGGTGGTTCTACATGAATAACATTCAGTATCAATAACCTTGTAAGGCTGTCCTTCGAATGGTTTTCAGCATCAATGTTTTATATCGGCTAGGTTATGTCCATTGAAAGATTGCACAATATCTTGATATGTCACGATTCAGGAAACACAACATAGGCAGCAAAAACCATTTCCAATTGATTACTTAGAATGTACGAAAAAAAAACTAGAGTTGCATACAGGGCATTGCAGAAACAAAATAGCAGTCAAGTGAATACACAACAAATGGTTACACATATCAGCACAGCGATGCAACAGTTGATTACTATATATAAGCACAGCACAAGATAAAAATGGTAAACATAACCAAGTTTTTTTTGCTGTCATACAAGATAATGACTGCAAAATAATGAAGCCAAGCTACCACTGAAATGTGGTAGAACCAATACAACAAACTAAACATTGAGACACTGATTGTAGCCATCCAGACATCAAGTAGGCACAAGGCCGACATAATCATCATAACTTTCTATCCGAATTAAAACGGCGATTATTGCTAGAACGATCATGACTATGCTCAAAAGAAAACTGAATACTGCCTTGTACTTCCTGGACTTTCCCATGCTTCTTGTGACACAGATATCTTGCTCTTTGCACTCACCTTCAGAGGATGCCTTGCAGGATGCGTCCTCAACTTCTGGAGTGCAGAGTACTGATTTATCTTCGTTGGAGAGAATTTGAGTCGTATCATCAGCACTCTGTGCGTCTATGGTCTCGTTATCATATTTTGCCTCCTCAATCTTGCTGTCAGAAAGCTGAGACTGCATCTCTTCAGATGATTCCTCTAGTTCATTACTTTCCTCACTTGGTGATGATGAGCTGTTCAGCTTGGCAATGGATCGTTCCTCATTGCGAGCAGAGTCAAAGTCATATGAGCTCTGGAGTGATCTGAGAAGCTTCCTTGGCGTTGTGTATATCTTCACGTCATCAATGCTTATTGGCCTTTCAGAAGCCTAAAATGACAAATCGCATAGCAAGGTTAGTAAAACAATAAAACCAGAAGGTTATAAACTGAGGCACACAATGTAGCATTCTTTGAGAAACTTAAACAGTCAAATGCACTGATGTGTACCTGAGGGCTTGGTGTCTTGTCTCTTGATGTAGCACCATTGGGGCTAGCTGACACAAATCCACTGAATGAGTTTGTGCACTCAAAATTGGTATCAGTTACTTCACTGTCACAGACTTCATCCAAATCATCCTCAAGGTACTTCCCATCCGAGCAAAGTCTGAAGAACAGGCCATCCTTCAGAGAAACATCAACACCATCATTGCTCCACAATCTCCTGTTGGTGCGCCGGTTCTGATCGAAATTGCAAGAGGACTGCCCAATCGAGACCGGCGATTCAGTGATTGTGCTTTCACACATGATGGATGAATCCACAACATGTGATTCAGGTGATTGGAACTGAACTGGAGAGGCTGCCATGCCTTTGGCATTCCACAGGCTCCTGCATGGGCTCTTCTCTCTTCTCCTCTGGAAGTTGGAGCCGACCATCGGGCTCGTGCTCACCTCATGCCTCGATCCCTTCTGCGCAGCAATGCTCTTCGCCGTCTGCGATGCCTCAAACGCAGCGCCTCTTACAAATGGCATTCGGTCATTCTGGCATTGCTCCATGATATCAACCACCTTGCTAAGCTCAGAGGATATGCTCCTAGGATCAACAAACTTCATGAAGAAATTGATCATCTGGATCGCCGAAAGCCGCTTCTGGGAGCTGCTCTCTGCAGTGTCACCATCAAGAATCTGCAGAGCAGACCTCACAAGAGACCTCGCATAAGCCTCCGCAATCAGGCCATTGTGCTTCACCAGCGCCATTGCCAGGGCCATGTGAGCATTGGACTGCGTCGACTTGTCATGCATAGCTCCGGCAACCTTCAGGCAAACCTCGTTAACCGTCTCGCCGGCCGCGAACCTCCAATTGCTCGATTCAACAAGCGCCTTCAGGCACAGCGCCGCGCCAGACGCTGCGCCGTCCTGGTTCCCCATCAGCGCGCCGCAGAGCGGCTTGCAGAGGGATGCGATGATGCCGGCCTTCTCCTCGTCGGGCGTCGAGGGGTCGATGCCGTAGCGGGCGATGGCCGGCACCACCTTGGAGCACGCCTGGTGCAGCGGGAACGAGCCGCCGCTGGAGGAGAGCGTGCACATGATGGTGGACATGATGTTGCCGACCTGCGGCACGATGTTCCGGCCGTGGACCCTGGCGAGGACCTCGTAGAGCGAGATGGTGAACTCGCCGGAGGGCAGCCCCGGCGCCGCCTTGTTGTCGGAGACCTCGGCGAGGAAATGCGGGATGGACTTGGAGTCCAGGTGCTTGGCGTACGACTTGAGCGCCTTCATGGCGTTGCGGCGGCTGTCGGCGTCCTTGTCGAGGTTGTCCAGCTCCTGACGGAGCAGCGGGCTCAGGCTGCGCCCCATCGCTCGCCGCCGCGAACCAAGAACGGCAGCGTCCTTATCTCCTCTAGATCAAACACCCTGCTCCTGCAAGCCAAAAGAGAAAAAAAAAAAGAAATCATCTTTTAGAAGGGGAAAAGAAGGGCGAATCTTTAAGCATCAAGAATCACTAGTAAAACAAGATTAATCTTTGGAGGTCGCATCAGATTTGAGCTATATGAAATGGAGATTTCACTCCTCCAAACCATGCGAGCGCAACTATCAAAAAATTTTCGGATGGGACGAACTAAATTTCAATCACTGATGAAGGTCTGAAGCGGCAAGAACAGAACGGGAACCAAGAACAGAGGACAAAATCAACCCAACACGGAATCACTTCCTACCTCTGTTCATCCGCAAGATCTGACATGCTAAGAACAACCCGAAAGAAATCAGCATGGCTCTGCCGCATTGAACACAAGCAAACTACTAACCTGGAATCAAGAACAGCGAAAGCCCTCGCAAAATCACAATCTCCACCGAATCAAGCCCCTCTCTCTCTCTCTCTCTCCCTCCCTCTCCTCCTCTCACTCTCTTCTCTCTCTCATATAAGGATTTGAACGCGAAGTTTGAATCAGCAGCAGCTCATTCTCATCTCATTTCACACATGAGAGAATCTGAATCAGATCCGGGGCGAGGAGGCTAAAATGGGGAAGGGTTTTACGGCTGGTCTGCTTGGGTTCCCCGAAGCGGAAAAAACGGGCAAAAACTTTTCTCACCCGCACCCTTCCAGACGCAGCGGGAGACGCGTACCCTGGGGCCCACCTGTCAGCGAGGGGGTAGGTGTGTGTGAGGTGGGTGAGGTTAGAATGGGGAGGCGCGTCTCTGGACGGAAGTGGCGGAGCGGCCGCGGAGTTTGAAATTTGGGTGCGTGGAAATTACGAGGGTGCCCCTGCAGTTGGGCTTTGTGGGTTTACTGGTGTGGCGGGCCGAGCTGGGTTTTTGGGTCGAGCGTTGATGGGCCAGGCTTCAGGGCAGGTCTTTTAGCCCAAGCACAAATTCAAGTCCAATGAGGTGTGGACTTGGGCCTGAAGCATGTAATTGCCCTCTGTTTTTTGTGATGGCTAGCTAACTTCCTTCTTGTTTGGAACATAAGATTTAGGCGTGTTTAGTTCCCCCAAAAATTTTTCCTAATTAAAAACATCGTATCGAATCTTTTGATATATGTATGAAGCATTAAATATAGATTAAGAAAAACTAAATGCACAGTTAGGGTGGAAATCGCGAGACGAATCTTTTGAGCCTAATTGATATTCGTCTCGCGGTTTCCAGGCAAGTTATAAAATTAGTTTTTTTCATTCGTGTCCGAAAATCCCTACCGACATCTGGTCAAGCATCCGATGTGATACCCAAAAATTTTCTTTCGCGAACTAAACAAGCTCTTAATGAAAAAGAAGTTTTGTAGTTTAACCATATGTGCGATTTGAGCTTCTCCATACATACCCAAAAAAGGTACCTATGTTGCTGACCATTAATGACTAGTTCGAAGACCTAGAGTAGGAGCACATGTCCCGAAGGAGAAGGGGAAAAAGTTAATTTTGACTCCCTCAACTGTCACCTTAATTTGATTCGCATAGCCCCCCCCCCCCACAACTATTAAAACCAGCTTAAATTACCTCCTTGAGCAGTTTTGTCCTATATGGCATCTACTTAGAGATTGACCCGGTCTTCATATGATATGGCTCTAATGTGGCATTGCATTCGTCATCTAAAAATAAATAAATAATGTAGTGGGAACCCACTGTTAGTGACATCGCTGTTGATCCTGTCAAGCACACAGCGGTGCCAAGCCAGAGAGGAGCTCGACGAGGAGCACGGGGTCCCTCGATGCTCAAGCTCATCCTCCACTACTATTAAAGGCTCCTCCACATGCCACCGCCCTCGCTGTCATGCCGCAGGCACAACAACATCTGGCAACATCGAGAGACTCCTCGTAGAGGAAGCACGGAGTGGTGAATATCAGTTGCCATGGAAGAGGCTCCTCTCTCGTCGATGGGCCAAATGGACTCTTCTTGTTGGCCTCTACAACCAGATGCGGCATCTTCGCCGCCTTACGTGAGGCTAGGACATTTGCCGAGGAGGGGGGATCGACGGTTGTGTAACTTGAGCTCGAGCTTCTCTTCGCCGGAGCTCACGAAGAGGAGCAAGGTGGCGGCGGTAGAACCAGCTCACGTCTGGGGTCAGATTCACGTGATCCCTTGGCTAGGTGGCCCCTAGTCCCGCGTGCGAAGGAGGACATCGTGCTGAAGACGAGGGTGGAGCATATGCATGCTGCCATCTTCACCAAGCCAGTATCACCGCATCGTTGGTCTTTGCGGCTTTCTCTCCATGCCACAGTCGTTGGCCCCTTCATTCAGCGCCCTTCTTAGCATCGAAGAGAGGGAGGGAGTAGAGGAGACAGAGGAGAAGGGATGAAGAAGAGAGAGGGCATTGACATGTGGGTCCCATGCTAGCCTATTTATTTTTTTAATATAAAACCAACTGACAGGTGGGTCTCGTTGGATTTTTAATTTTTCTGCTTTTCTTTTAGTGTCATGTAGACGTCACATTAGTTGAAACCATGTAGACGCCACATCAGCTGACCACCCTCAGAAACCGTCAAGGGAGTTATTTTGACTGGTTTTAATATGTGAGGGAGGCGATAAACACAAATTTTATGTTGAGGGATACAAATCAAATTGACCTATATTTGAGGGAATCAAACTGGACTTTTTCCTGTCAAGAAAGATTTGTTACTTTCCTTATGGTTTTCGAACATTTTCAAGAAATATTTCACAATTTTTTTTGGTAATATAATATTAGTAGATGATATTCGAGCCCTTCCTTTTATTACGATCAGAATTATTATTCTTATTATTATATAATTATTATTTTCATCTATATGCGTCAGACATAATCAATGATCTATATTATGATATAGTCTACCACTAGTATTTATATTATGATCTATAATATGATAGCTCATGAAACTTCTTTTTTGAAATTCTATTTGTAAGCTGTTAATAAAAAAATACATATTTGATCCATTTTTAAGTATTTTAAGCTAGCACTACGAGCCATTCTGGTTTTTAAGATAACACTTAATTAATTAATTAATTGTGCGGGGATACGTTCCCAACCGCTACTTCCCAACACATTTCCAATCACCACGGTCTCAGAGCGGGTACAATAGCAGGCTATAAGCTAGCTATAAATATATTTTAAAGAGATAAAGGAAGAGAGAGAAGAGCAGCGGGCTACAGATCTGTAGCCAGCTGCAGCACGGACTCTAAGATGTAATGTGTGTATGACATATGGGATCAGCTATTAATAGTTTAGTAAGCAACTATGTATGAATTGGCTATTATATTGACTATAGATGATTTGGAGTTAGTAATGGGCTATACTATTAAACTTGCTCTCATCAGCTCACGAACAGGTGAAAGAAACAAAAGAAAGCATCATCATCACCGGCAGCTTTGGGAAGCCAAAGCCACCATTCGAGACTACTACAGCTGCACATCGATCCATTCAACACGAAGCAACTTGACCAAGCATGGAAATTCTTACTATTCAAAATATAAGAAATTTTTATTAGATGTAACGTATTATAGTACTATAGATCTAAATAGAAAATATATCCATATTCGTAATATTAGGATATATTTTATCCAATCAAAATTTTTTATATTTCAGGAAAAAGGAGTACCTGCCGGTATCACCAAACCGGCAAAGGATAAAAACAGCACAGGCCCAGCAGCCAAGCATCAGGAGGGAAACGCGGCAGTAGCCAGACAGTAGGGGCGTGGTCACATGGATGTCTGGAACTCAAAAATGTCATACTAGGAGGTTCATGTCATTTGTAGAGTGTGTGCCTCGTACATCGGGGCTCTACGGACTACGGTTCCGTCGAAAATACATTGAGTAGGCTTATTTAGAACGTGAAAATTTCCTTGTAGTACCCTTGTTAGGATGTAAATGTTGGAATTCCTTATATCTCTATATCTATATATTATTATAAAAAAGTTGAAGATAAAAATCAAATATGTTTTCACCCTAACCTTAGTACGTGGGCTGGTGGGCGTCATCGTTACATCAGCCAAAGTCTGTTTCGCCCGATTGTGTCAGCAGTTGCGCACGTGCGGCAATTTTGTTCGAGACGCGTGCGCCGTTTAGCCGCAGATAGCGTCCGAGTCTATTTTAGCCATGAGATTAGTACGTCATTCAACTCCGAATCCTTTGGCTCGCCTTCGCGACAATGACCTATTGTAAAATAAATTTGTTTAAAAAGAACCAAAATATGAATATTTTTCTTATAAATAGGTCGTTGGCATCAAAGAGGTTTACGCTAAGAGCTTACTTGTAAGAAAAAAAATTTACATTTTAACCCTTTTTTAAAAAATATGTTACAAATAGGTTCTTGCCAACAACCCCCTTCCCATGAGTGACTTAATTATCATAGGGGACAAGAGTGTTAGCGCCAGTGTCTATGTGACCCTAGCACCGAGAAAAATAGTCTATTCATAAAATAAGTTTTTCTAAAGAACTATTTAAAAAATGTTTTTTAGAAACCTAAAATGCAAAAAAAAAATCTAGGTCAAATAGAGATAGCAGTGGCACTGTCTTGCTCATGTATTGACCGTTCTGTTTGGAGTTGAAGAGTTAAACAAGATTAAAACAAAATTACAGGTTGATACAAAAGTTATGCAAACTCGTTATATTTGGAGCATGTACTATAACGGAGCAGCGGATTAGCATATAATTAATTAAATTTTAGCTAAAAGTTTTTAAAATAAATTAATATGATTTTAATGCAACTTTTCTATAGAGTTTTTTTATTAAAAAAAGAACTCTGTTTACTAATTTGAGTTGCGTGTATGTGAAAAACGAGGATGTGGAAGTTAGAGAAGGGGAGAAAAGAACACAACCTAGGCCGTGTTTAGTTCCACGCTAAAATTGGAACATTGTGACGGAAAAGTTGAAAGTTTGTGCGTGTAGGAAAGTTCGATGTAACGGAAAAGTTAGAAGTTTAAAGAAAAAAAGTTGGAATCTAAATAGGGCCCTAATACATAATACTAAAATCAACGTGACTCTTCATCAGGTGACAGTTCTATTATCACTTGTAATACTAAAATCCACATGACTCTTAGAGCAGGTACAATAGCAGGCTATAAGCCAGCTGTAAATATATTTTAAGGAAATAAATAAGGAGAGAGAAGTGTAGCGGGCTACAGATTTATAGTCAGCTGTAGCACGGACTCCAAGACACACTGTGTGTATGACAGGTGGGATCAGGTATTAATAGTGTAGTATGTAACTATTGTATGAATGAGTTATTAGAGCACCCGCAATGGTAAAGTAAGTTGCTCTCTATAAAACATGTACATCTCAGCAATAAACTCGATTAATAGTAAACCACCTTAATAGTATGTCTACATTGGTATCTATAGCTCTCTCATGCATTGCCTCGTTTTTCTCTATAGACTATCTCTAAGTTAGTAGATAGTTATGCTCTCTCTCTTCATTTAATACCTTTCAAGTAGAAAAATATGCTGACATGGATCTCTTATAGAGAGTCTATAGATAACCATTGTGGGTGCCCTTAGATTGGCTATAGATAAATTGGAGCTAGTAGTTGCCTAGTTGGCTATACTATTGAACTTGCTCTTAGGTGACATAGTTCTATTATCTCCAAGAAATGTGTGTGTACTGGTGAAAGAGACCCACAACCAGATTTCACACTCGCACCACACCGGAGGGATAATACCATGACACACAAGGCAATTGGTCAGGGAGGCCAAATCAGGCCCAACCTATCATGGTGTGCGATGATATTGTGGTCTGTCCCTTTGTTGACCCTTCGCTTTTGCAGTAATGGACTCGGATTCCATGAGAGTACACCACCACATCTCTTTTCTCCACCACCGCAAGTAACCGATGCGAGTAGCAGTAGAAGGAGAAGAGAAGCTTCATGGCCACTTCCTTAGTCCTGTTCATGCTAAAGGCAGCATAGTATATGGTCAAGGTCTAACCTGTAAGTTGTGACCACATTCTGCATCAGAAGAGATAATTTACCGGGCTGAAGTAGTGTTGTTTGGATACAGGGACTTAACTTTAGTTTCTGTATTTAGATACTAATTTAGAGTATTAAATATAGACTACTTACAAAACTAATTATATAAATGAAAACTAATTTGCGAGACAAATTTTTTAAGCCTAATTAATACATAATTAGATAATGTTTATTTTGGCATCATATAGGATAATCATGGATTAATTAGGCTTAATAGATTCGTCTCGCGAATTAGTCCAAGATTATGGATGGGTTGTATTAATAGTCTACGTTTAATATTTATAGTTAGTATCCAAACAACTGATGTGATAGATACTTAATAGTTTTAGTCCCATTTAAACAGGGTCTTAAAAACTAAACACAGCCTCTGCATCAGAAAGACTGATGTTCCTTGTGCCAAACCGGTCATCTGCTAGAGGAAAAAACAACTCTAATTAGTGATTATTATATTAAGATGTCCGACGGTGTTTAACTAAGGTCTTGTTTAGCAGAGTTTTTAGTGGTTGCATTTAATTTCTCTCATAATCTTTAGCTCCTCCCAAGAATCCATTCTTATTTCTGAGAATATGTAACTATATAAAATACTATATGAATATCCCGCCACGTTGCTATGGGAAATTAAGTTACATAATATGTACACATATGATGCATATATGATTATTAAATTAAAACAAATTGATACTTATGAATTTTTATGAATTTTGAGACTATAAATAATTGAGATTGTATGGTGTTATGAGAGAGGAAAGAAGAGACAATTTGAATAATAGATCTATCATCTAAAGACTAGAAATAATTGGAGTAATGTGCCTTAATGTGAGAAGAGAGAAATAACAATAACTATACTTAGTGGGGATGAACTATATAAGTATATAAGATTAGATTTATCTGATATTTTAAAGAAAATCCTATATAACAAGTTTTTAATAAAATGTTTTTAACAGTTTAAAAATATGCTAATGAAAACCGAGATAAAATATGTATGTTAATCAGAAAAGAAAACGACCATCATCAAGCTTTGACCTATTCTGAACTTTTCAAGTTTTGGCTCCACAGGCTTTTAGTACTCGTGACTGATCGGTGATGGGAAGGTACTGAAAATGGTTGACGCAGTGTTTAGTTCCGAAGTTAGTCTGTGTTTAGTTCCAAAGTTTTTTTTCTAAACTTTCAATTTTCCATCACATTAAACCTTTCATACACAAACAACTTTTCTATCACATCATTTCAACCAAACTTCCAATTTCAAAATTGAAAGTTTGATTTACATTAGAACGATGTGATGAAAAAGTTGGAAGTTTATGTGTGTAGGAAAATTTTGATGTGACTTCAAACTTTCAACTTTTTCATCGCATCAAAACTTTCCTACACATAAACTTCTAATTTTTCCGTCACATCGTTCTAATTTCAACCAAGCTTTCAATTTTGGTGTAAATCTATCCACACAGTCATGAATCAAACTCTAAAAACTAATGTGATTATATGTTAAATTATCTTGTGCAGGCCGCATATGGGAGCTGAAATTCCTCCAGGATTAATTTCGGGGGGGGGAATGAATTTTGTGAGATCGATTGGTTGGTTTAGAAAGAGTTTGTTTTTATCCCAAGCTTTTGTTCTACATGCACACTTTTATTTTTGTGATTTACATATGTAGATGTAATATTATAGGAGTATTATCCCTCTCAATAGAGTATTTAGGACATGTTTGGCAGAGTTTCAACTCTAAACCCCATCTCTCCTGAAGCTAAAGTCCAATCAAATAATTTTAGTTCCACTTAAAAATTAGAGTAGGCTAAAGTACTTTACAAAATGAACTAGAGAGACAAAGTTATGTTTAGTTTCTCACAATTTTATTCCATACCCATACCAAACAGGTTCATACTATTGCATAGTTTTCCTTTCATTGGAGCTCACACATGGTCAGAATCCAAATCAAACGACATGAAAAACAAGTTGGACAAGAAAAAATGTTGCTTATTTGTTTCAGAGAAGAAAAAAAAGGTCAAACCGTTCTACCGGTCGTCTGTTCCTTTTGCTCATAATCATCAAAACAAAAGGTTCCTTTTGCTGAATTGTACTACTGTACTACTACTTGGAGGGCCCAGATCAAGGCACGCGGACACGTGGCGCTCATCCAGCCATCGACACGTCACCTCGCAACAGCATCTTCCGAACTTTCTGTCAGCACCCATGCTCTCAAGTTAGTTTAGCTAATACTCCCTCCGTTTCAAAATATTTGACATTGTTAACTTTTTAGTACGTGTTTGACCATTTGTCTTATTCAAAAAATTAAAGTAATTGTTTATTCTTTTTATATCATTTGATTTATTATTAAATATACTTTCATATATATATATATATATAGTTTTACATATTTCACAATTTTTTTTAATAAGATTAATGGTTAAACATGTGCTAAAAAGTCAACGGTGTTAAATATTTTGAAACGGAGGGAGTATTAATCTACTACAATTAGTTAGATTAGATAATGTTGTTATCTATTGCTAATACTATGTATCATTCGAATAATCTCCATCAGCACATGATGTGATTTGTTTAATCATGCCGTGCGAGGCTTCAAACCTCGTTGTACTTTGGGTGGGGTAGTCCAAAAGCGCATGCCGCATCGAATCAAGGGAGTCAATGAAAAGCATGGTGAGGTCAATTTGAGGGCATAAACAATATAATTGCTTGAGACACCTAGGAATGCACCCCAAAAGTTCTTCTAGTAGTAGTAGTACTTGCCATGATATCATTTTTTCTAAAAAAACAAAAATCCCTTCATAGGGTTAACCCAATGATAGCATTTCATTTTGCAAGTTGAGGTGTACCCAAATGCGACAACTTTTTACGCATTTAAGCAAATTGTACCATAGGAAAGATCATGTCTTGTTAATTCTCAGTCTATTCTTTATAAAAGTTGAAGTTCTAATTGTTTTTCTCGGTGTTCATCATAATTTTGTTCGATATTCGGTGCGCAACTCTGATAATTTGAAGCGAGATAGCAAGAAGAGTAGTATTTGAAAATATCTTTCTATCAAACATATATATAGATTATAAGTATGATAATAAGACATCATCATGAACAATCAAAAGATGCTTACCAAGTCGATTTCACATTACATACCTTAATCATATATATCATGACACACTTTCTCTACTTGTAAACACCTTTCTATACCTGTGTGAGTACAAGCAACATGTAATCTACACCCACACACCATCCAAAGCCCCCCCAATTATGAAGAAATAACACCCTCTTTTTTTAGGTGGTTAACTTAATTACAAAGAAATCCCGATTTGCAAGGAGGGAGGTGTGAAATTACATCGAAATCCCGATTTATAAAGAAATTATCCATGCATGCATGCATGAATGAGCGTGGTGGTGGGCCCCACTCTTTCTCTCTCTACACATCCGTTTTCCCCTCTTTCTCTCCCATCCACACCACACACACCATCACTACTTCATCACACCTCCGAATATAAAGAGAGGAAGGTGAGGAGGAGAGAGAGAATGAAGAAGAAGAGTCCATCTTGGTAGAGAGAGAAAGAGAAGAAGCTAGAGAGAGAAAGTAGCAAGAGAGAGAGAGAGAGAGAGTTGAAGGCGAGCAAAGAGGGTCCAAAGGAGAGAGAGAGAATGCCCACCTGAAGAAGAGAGAAACGCCCCTCTTTTTTTTTACTCTCCTTCTCATCCAAGCCACCACCCGTGAAAATCTTGGGAGATAAATCCATCTCCAACCTCCACCACCCCCGATTCTTCGCGATTAGTTGTTTCCTTCTTCTTCGCAGGATTCCCTCCTGCGAATTCTGCATCGCCATCATCCACTCCTGAAGGTTGTCTCTCTGAATCTTTTTTTTTTTTACTGCTGTTCTTTCTTTTACACTGATGATGAAGTTTGTTCATCCCTCTCTGGGGGATCTTCGATCGGGTTGGATCGATTGGAGGGCTGTTTCGATCGGGTTTGTTGGGTTTGTTTCGCCGAAGGATTGGGTTTTTGGGAGGTGGGTTTTGTTCGGTTCTTGTTCTTGGGGGTGGGGGGATCGTGCCTGATCGGGGGGGTTTTTCTGGGGGTTTTGCGGCCTTCGATCATTGGGGAGGTTGAGGCGATGCGGCGATGGGTGGATTATCGGTGCATGATTCCCCTGCATTCCGCATGGATTTTCCTCTTGATCTTGGTGGTGTAATCTGACTGTTGGACTGTGTGATAAGTAGTAGTAGTAGTTTACTTGCACTTTTGATCCCCCTCACATTTACTTGTTCTTGTCATGATTTTGGTATTAGTTTGCATTGTCTTGAGATGTGTTTGTGTGGATGAGGGGATCAGAATTTTGGCCTTCTCTTTTGTTTGATTTGTTTAAACCTGTCACCATCTGGTGATCTGCAGAATGTTGGCTCGTAGTTTTTAACTGTAGAATACAATTGTGTGGATGCTTGTCTTGATCCCGATTGTTCGTCCAAATCATCATCTTGTTTGGTGAAGACTTGCTGTCATGTGTGGCTAAAGCCCTCTGTTCTGTTTCCCAGTGGTTTTTGTCTTTGTCTCTGCTTTTCTGCCTGCACATTTTCTACTCGAAGTATCTGAAAAGATGATACTTTATGTCTGTTTCATATAGGATCGATGAGTTCTGATTTTAACATGGAATTCCTGGTGTTGCAGGTCCAGTGACTTTACCTGCATTGTGTGATTGAGGCCTCACTTGTCGTCGCACACCGTCTTGTTTGCGGCAATGGAGGATCCACAGGGTGGTCAGGATTGTTCCAAGTTTGGGGCCTTTGTTGACAAGAATTCCGGTGCTTCATCGAGTAGTGCTGCTGACATTGAGCTTCAGAACATGTGTGGTACTTCTGTGGCAAGGACTGCTTCTTTGAGCACGGGAAGGGCTTCGCCTTCTCAATTCGCACCGACTGTTGGAAGATATCATCGTGCTGCCGGCTCCTGCCAAAGTGATGTTCTACCTGATGAGCAGTCTCTTGCATCAGCTTTTGACATGGTTCTGAGTTTCAGAAATCACCCTGTTGATTATCCTACCAATCCCTGCAATGTTGTGCCAAGTAATGGACTATATGTATCAGGCCCTATGAGGGCTACTTCAGTTCAGAGCTTTGATCCACTGCTTGTTCAGGATGAATCCATGCGTCCACAGTTTGGCGCTGGACATGGCAAGCTAAAGACTGATGAGTTCACTGTTGACCAACAAGAACAAGCACACATGCTCTCACATTACTTTGGGAATTGGCCACAGAACTATGGGATGAATAATATGGGTGGAGTTGCCAGTACTCCATACAAGCCATCAGCTTCACTCTACCAGCAACCATTTTATATGGATGAGCAATCTCAAATGTATGCACCTTATCAGCAGATTCCTTCAAACTTCTTGTTGCAGCATGATATGGATGTACAGAACCACTCTTCTATGCAACCACACTATGTTTATCCACAAATGCAACATGCTGCTGGGTCAAATGTTAGGAGCAATCAACAGGCTGCAGCTTGCACTTCTGCAAGGGGCAGATCAACATATGGACATCAACTGTTGCTGGATGGTGCTGTTTACCATAATGGAAATAACCAGATGAACAGTTTGTATATGGATGGTTTTCCTGGTATGTATACTGACAGTTCATTTGACTCCAGTGATTTTCACCGTCTGCTGGAAGCTGAAAAGTTTGCCCATCCGTATGAACTAAACTCTTCATCCAAAGGTTTCTTGCAACCTCAAATCCCAGATGATCTCAGCACGATGAAGATGCTGATGAATTCTGCTGGGGTAAATCGAGTAAGAGCTATCAAGTTCCCTCCTACAGTAAATGGCTATAGTGGTGTGGGTCGAAGAACCAATGGTTATGGCCATAACCATCTGGATGTTAAAAGTGATGAAACCTTGCACCTCAACGGGTTGAATTCCCAGTTTATGTCCTTAAAATCTGAGTATGATTTGGCGATGAAATCAACACAGCTGAATTATGGTTCAGTTGATGAAGTTGCTGGAAGGATTTATATGTTAGCGAAGGATCAAAACGGCTGCCGCTTTCTGCAAAAAGTATTCACTGAAGGCACCAAAGAGGACTTTGAAAAAATCTTAGCTGAAATTATTGATCATTTTGGAGAACTTATGATTGATCCATTCGGCAATTATTTGGTTCAGAAGTTGCTTGAAGAGTGCAGTGATGATCAGAGGACGCGTATAATTTGTGAAATTACCAGAGTGCCTGGAGAGCTTATTACAGTTGCTTGCAACATGCATGGGTATGAACAATGATCTCTTCATAATTTTTAATCTTTAATATTCTTGCCTTTTGTTCTTATCTATTAGAAAAAAATATTCAGGACTCGCACAGTTCAAAAGGTCATAGATACAATAAATACTCCGGAACAAATTTCGAAGGTTGTATCTGCATTGAGTCCTGGAGCAATGCGTTTGATGACAGATACTAATGGAAGTCATGTTGCACAACGGTGCTTGAAGAAATTGTTACCTGAGTATAAAGCGGTAAAGCATCTGCCAGTCATGTGATTTACATAGTCTTTCTGTATTGTCATACTTCTTGATTCATCTTAATATCCTGTAGGGTTACAGATCATAACAACCCACGACTGTTTCCACCTAAAAAATTATAATATAGACATATTGTAAAATTTTCAATTTATCTATAGTCTGTACATAACTCCAACTAGTTCTTCACTGGAAAACCGTCATATGCGCATGTTTTCATTCACAGTGCAGCAACAATGGCACTACAGGATAACAATGAAAATAATCTTACATTACGAATTTGATTGTTTGATATGCATATTAATCTTCTTGGCCTCCATTGTTTTTGCACTGACCTGTGGATGCCTGTATTACTTGTTACAGTTCCTTCTTGATGTTGCCGCATTGCGTTTTCTTAGATTAGCAAAAGATCAACATGGCTGTTGTATCATTCAAAAGTGTATTGAACATTCAAATGATGAGCAGAAGTACAACTTGTTGTGCAAGATCACATCCAGTGCCCTTAGCCTTTCAGAGGATCAGTATGGGTATGGCATTATCTTTGCATTCCACTTAATAGGTATTTTAAGTGTTCTAAGTAATATTACAGTAATGTTTTTTAATAACATATGATTTCTTTTTTTTTGCAGAAACTATGTCATTCAGTTTGTTGTCAACCTAGGAATTGAATGGGCCACAAGCAAAATAGTAAAAGAACTAAAGGGTCACTTTGGATATCTATCAATGCAGAAGTGTGGTAGCCATGTCGTCGAAAATTGTCTGAAGCAAGCATCGGAGCTCGACCGGGAAATGATTATCCATGAACTTATGGCTGATTCCAAGTTACCGCATATCATGGCAGATCCATTTGGGAATTTTGTGATTCAAACAGCACTTAAAGAGTGCAAGGTAAATGTAGCGATGCATCCTCACCCAAATGAATTCTCTCCTCAATTCTTGTATAAATGTTGTTTAAATAATTGTGCAAAATGAATTCTCTCCTCAATTCTTGTATAAATGTTGTTTAAATAATTGTGCAGGGTGAACTACATAGCTCCTTTGTCGAAGCTATTAGGCCGCATGCTCCTGCGCTGCAGAACGATGTGTATGCGAAAAGGGTTTTATCGAAGACATATCTGAAGAACAAGCAATACCGACTTGGCATTTTTTAGCCTGTCATTTGGGTGATTGCAGGAAGGAAGGTGCAAGTTCAGGCAGCATGTATCAGAACAGGACTTTTAGTGTACAATGGTGTGATAAAGAAAAACAGTTCTTAGAGAAAATGATCTTTTTGTCTCAAGGTAGTCTTGGCGAAGGAAAGCTTTTGGTTGGACCATTTCAGTATATTTACGTTTGTAGAATTAATATAGCCAAAATAACTGTCAGTTGTGTTGTTGGATCGGTCATTAATCATGTAGTACGTCCTGTATCTGCAAAAACTGTAGTTTATCAGTAACATCTTGTAATCACTAGTCTGATCAGATGAGCTGTATCATCTGCAAGGGTTTATATTCCGGTTGTGTCCTTAGTAAAATTTTAGGGTTTTTACTGAACAAGCTCTCTGATTATCGTTTGGGAGCCAATGCCAGGAGAGAATCCATCTGAAATCGACTTCGTATCGATTTCATTATCAAGGCCTGGTATTTGCTCGTATCGATTTCATTATCAAGGCCTGGTATTGCTGGGAAATATATTGGTTGGTAGAGTAGACCTTCAAAGGGAAAATACATTGGTCAGTTACCCTGGATCGTGTTGATTCAGCTTAGGAGTTATCTGTAGGAACCATTTGTGTGTAATGGACTCCCTCTGTTTCACTATATTATAAGTCACTTCAGGTTTGTCCAAATAACATTTCCAATACAAAATAAATGTACTACTAAAAAATACATTCAATGAGACTTGTTGAAATCAATTTGATGTGGTGTGGTGGATGATAATTTTCCTATAAAATTAAACTTAAAAGATGTAATATGAAACGAAGTACTCCATTCCAGTAAGACCATTCCAACATTGTCTCATTTAGTAATTTGTGAGTAAAGATTCATAGGATAACATCCATTAAGAGTCAGAATCAGCATTCGGTAAATTTAAAGATTAACTATAAATGCATAACTTGTACTGAAGAGAAATGAAAACTTTGTTCCATAGAGATTCAACTTCCACACATGAAGAGCTGGAAACGCTCTGCTAACTTAACATCAGGCTACAAGAACATGAATGTTTTCAATTGAGCAGAGGGCATGTAGGATATGATGTTTCAACAAACACCAGGTCTTAAGCTAAGAAACTAGAATCTGCCCCGCCCCCTGAAACCACGACCTCCACCCCTAGGAGGTCCACCACGGCCCCTTGGCGCACCTCTTCCACGGAAGCCACCACCACCACGGCCACGGAAACCGCCTCTTCCACCACCACGGCCACCACCTCTGCCCCCTCCTTGACTTTGGCCCCTGCAGAGAAGGCAAACAGAGTTACGCAACTCCTTGGTGTTAATTAGATAGATATTTCACTATTTGTTTAGTTTTTTATATTCATTCCTCATGCTTTGCTTGTAACATTTCGTATAGTCATATAGGACAGAGAAGCTGCACTATTTCTGTAGTCAGAACCTGCAGTAGATTCATCAATTAATTCCAAACAATGCAGACTACAATAGTGGAATCTTTGGGCTTAATAGGCATACATTAGAATTTGAATATATTTCTTAGAGCTGCTAGTATTTGTAACACTTATTAGCTTTCTTGAGAATTATCAATGTTCAATTGAGTTTTAGAAATACTTGTTGGGAGAAAGATAGCAGTTGGCATGACATGGTGTTATCAATTCAAGTTTGCACGTGAACCCGAATCTACAAGCAAATTTAACACCGGAAACAGTAAGCTATAAATTAGGCTAGCATCATACTTTGGCTGTGGCAAGAAGCGTGAGAGAGGCAAAAGCTTCATGGGGTCGATGTAGAACTTATCGCCTTCACTGTATGAAGTTGCAATGATCCCCTCCAGCATCTTAATGGAGAAAAGCTGCAAGCACAACACAAACTTTTAAGACGCGCGATTCAAATTCAGACTCAACGGACTAAAAATAAGGCGGTTTCAGTACAAAATTGTTGACCTTACAAGGAACAACCTGAGAACTAAAATATCCACAAGGTTGATCAGACACCGCCCGGGTTGCATCTATTGATTCGCAAGCTGATTTGTAAGCTCAATAGTACAAAACAATGAGCTTACAACCCAGAGATAAAGAAAACATTGCTGCGCCGCAACTGAACAATAGCTATGATGAACATTTCTAAATTCACTACTATAGTCGCAACTGCAACAAACCCGAGTTGCTATCTCCAACCGAACAAAAACGTGAAGCGTAAGTCCTATATCAGCAGGTACTACACTATACAAGCAGTTAGCCACATCTACCTGAACTCAACAAAACCTGAAGCAAGAAAAAGGTTGGATTCTTCAAGATCAAGAATGAGTGGAGTAGGGGGAGGAGGAGAGGAGCTCACGGATTCGTTGATGGGGCCGAAGATCTCGTCGACCTTGCCGATCTGGGTCTTGTTCTGGAGGTAGATGGGCGCGTTGAAGTAGGGCACCTTCTCGTTCGTCAGCTTCGTCACCGCGTCCCCCTCGCACGCGTGCATGAACGTCGACACCTCTGCTCAGTGCTCACGCACGCATCAGAAACCAACCGAATCTCGCCGGAAAAACCCACAAACAGAGAGAGAATCCAGGGAAGGGAGGAGGAGGAGGAGACGCGCTCACCGACGACCTCGGCCGGGGGGCCCTCGTCGCGGAACCCGCCGCCGCCGCCGCGGCCCCCCCTGCCGCCGCCACCGAAGCGGCCACCCCTGCCGCCACCGCCGCCGAACCGCCCGCCGCCTCCGCCTCCGAAGCGCCCGCCGCCGCCGCCCCTCGGTGGCCGCATGGTGTGGAGGATTCTTGGGGGAAGAAGAGGAGGAGGAGGAGGATTTTTAGGGTTTCGGCGCGGGGAGGCGGCGGGAGGGGAGGAGGAGGAGGAGGGGGGGGTTTATTAGGGTTTTAGGAGGGGGATGGGGTGGGGTTTTGGTTGGGTGGAATGGGAGGCTGACAGGTGGGCCATGGGGGTTGTGTTGGATGGTTTGGCCGTTGGATCGTTGCTTCTGCTCGACAGAGGTCGATCCGACGGTGAGGGCCTGAGAAGGGGAGTAGACTTCTTTTCTTTTGCCAGAGACCATTACACAGACAAACCTAATAGTATAGTCAACTGCTTAGATATCCTGATTTTTCTTAAATTTTAAATCATTGGTAGTTTAGTTTGTTTAGTTATTGAAAACAAATTATAATCCTCAAGTCTCCTAATGTTTTTTTAAGGAGTTTTTTTCTTTAATTTTAGGGTTTTTACATTTCACATACAAATCTCAAATTTATAGAGTTGGTCTTGTTTCTGCTCTTTCCTTTCTTTCCTTTTGACTATTTTAGGGCCAAGTTAAGCCTATATCAAAATGGTTACACACATTGTGTGGTTTAGTGAGATTGTACTCCTATCCATGAGAGGTCTAAACCACTTCCAAACAAATATATGGACCAGACATGCACATGAAAATAATGTCTTAGGTGTAATATATGACCTTATAGCTATATATATCCTCTCAATCTAGTTTAATGAATATGTGATTATCAACGCCAATGAGTGGCTCTTATGCATGTCTATAATTGTGTGTAAGCCACTCAATAATTGCTAAAATTTCTATTGGCATTGGGTTGGGCTTGGGGAGATATACAGAAAATGGTGAATAATTATAGAACCGAAGGTTGCATGACCTCAACTTTATCTACGTTGTCAACAGTTATAGACCCAAAATCCAAACAACTAGATTACATCACTTGTCGGGTGATACTTTACATGTTATCTATTTATATGGAGACCTACGGCGATCTTAGGGCAATAGCAGTGCAAGCCTCACGTAGTGTGCCTCTAGCCCATTTGTACAGTGAAATCAATCCAAAATCATTTATAGGCAATGTACTTCACAATGCTTGTGATCTTTTTTGAATGACATGACTGCAAGACGTGCACGAGGTGATAGGAACACGTCTCATGAAGGCCCGAGCGTCTCGGTTGAGACGCGTGGGTGATCAACATGTCACAGAATATACGAGCCGGTATGTTTGAGAGAGTTTAACACCCTGTCACACTAAGAGCAAGTCCAATAGTATAGTCAAGCGTTTACTCTAAAATTTACCACATCAGCAAGAGCCATTATTTAAAGGTGGTATATACAACAATGTATCATTATACAGTCTATACAAATCTCTTTAAACTACTACTTTTCTACTCAATTTATGTTCTTTCCCCCTAACGTGAATAGCAGGGATTACTCAAGCTGCATAGGAGCGCGTACATATCTAGCGATTAAATTGTCGTCGGCCAGGACTCTCTTACTTCAACTTTTTTATCCAGCTCAGTTCTTAACGTGACGTAGCAGGTTTATCACCAACTATTGCACTTGCTACCCTCAGCTTTGCATGGACATATTCTTTGCGACATGTCAACCCTACTCCAGCTCGGTTTCAGCTCTACAGTGACTGACAATGGGGGTCCCACGGCCACATGCAGGTCACACGCAACGCACGCTCCCCGACTCCGACTCCGATCCTCTCTCACGCAAGTCGTCTTCTCCTTCCTCCTTTCCCCCGTCTAATTTCTCCACCCCCAAAATCCAATCCGACGCTCCCCCAGAAACCCTAGCAATCTTCCGCCATGAAATCCGCCGCCACCTCCAAGCCCAAGCCGCGGCCCAAGCCTCCGCCGCCGCCGCCGCCGGAGGCTTCCTCCAAGGCCTCCTCCTCCTCCTCCTCCGCCGCCGATCCCAACTCCAAGCGCTCCGGCCCCACCCCCACCCCCACCCCCGCCGCCGCTAACCCCACGAACAGCGCTAACCCCAACTCCGCCCCGCTCCTCCCCTCCCCGCACCCGCGCCTCCCCTCGCCGCACCACCACCTCCCGCCGCCGCAGCAGCAGCAGCCTCCGCCGCTGCCACCGTCTCGGCCGCTGCTGACGGTGGCGGCGGTGGAGGCGGCCATGGCGTCCATCCCGCCCCCGCCGCAGTACGGCCTCGAGAGCCTCGACCGGCGGAACGTGGTGCTCTCCGACGGCACCGTGCGCACCTACTTCGCGCTCCCGCTCGAGCCGCCGCCGCAGCTCCGGCAGCCTCTGCCGCTGCCGCTGCCGCCGTTCCCCGCGCGCCAGCTCGGCCCTCCGGTCGGTCTCCCGCCACCTACCGCCGAGAGATGGGCCCCGATGCGGCCGCCCGCGGCCTTGCTGCCAATGCCGGCGCCCAAGCGGAAGTGGGAGGGTCAGGCCAATGGTAGTGTCCCCGGGGAGTCCTCGGGTCGCCAGCAGCAGCAGAAGCCGGAGGAGAAGCGCGTCGCGAAGCAGGTGAAGGTGGAGACGCCAGACGTGGATGCGAAGCAGCTGAAGAGCTCCTTCCTTAAGATGGTTAAATTAATGAACGAGAATGCGGAGCAGAAGAAGAATTACAGGGCCAACGGGAAGATTTCGCAGCTGAAATGCACCGTGTGTGGAAGGTATGCTCTTCACACGCTTATGAAAGCCTTTCCTGTTTGATTTATGCTATGCTTGGATGTAGATGACTGAATGACATTTGGAATTAAAGTATCACGGAGCCACACTACCTCAAGCAATAACGTCGAACACAACTTTCATTTGTAGTATTTATTTACTACTAGGATATTGGCAATTACCAAAGCTTTCAGGTTGATGAAAGCCTGTAAATTCTAGATGTGGCACATTCCTTTTAAGCAGGAGTAGAGGACAAGGATGTTCATTTTAGCGTTTGGCTTCATGAGAAGGTGGTAGGTAGATCACAGCAAGCTGAGATTGCATCAGTGTTAGCTAACTGACATAGTTCCAAAAATAGTTATTGTATTCCTTAGGCCCATTTGGAATACAGTGATTTCATAGGAGACAGCCAGCATCCTCAGGAATGTTGAAACCCCTGCTTTGGGCATGCTTCTGCCTACTAGTATACGACTATACGTTGTGTCCATGGCTGATTTTCCTTTTGAGCTTGCTTTGTTAAGTGCAGTGGACTTACTAGTTAGGTTTAATTATCCGTAGAGAAGCATTTCACCATTTAATTATCATGTTGTATTGATCAGTGATATAAAGGAAAAACTTAGGTATAAGGGTACCCTAGAGTTGCATGTTTACAAAATGTTTGTGCTGTTATAAACTTGCAGGTTTTTGAAATATGCCATTATACATCAATCTGGACCAGAATACCTGTCTTTATTTTATTCCATCCCCACCGCTCCCTCCTTCACCTCTGGCAAAGGCAGCTCCCCCTTGCATCTCCATCAATGCCGCTCCCCTCCATTTCCAGTGAAGCTGCTCCCATCCATCTCTGGCCACGGCACTTCTCCTCCCATGTCTTGCGACGTTGCTCAATTCCTTCCTCCTCACCCATCCTGTTTTGCAGTGCCTTGCCCATCACACTTTCCAACCTGCGGAGGCTTTTGCCTGTTTTGTGGAGGCTTTTTTCTGGGACCAGGTGCTGACATCCTCTGCACCCGTGTTAGTAATTCTGGATGCCATGGGTGCGGCACCGACTGTCACCATCCCACAGAAGAGCAGATGGGGAAGGAGGCTGGTGGCATCAGCGTAGGTGGGGGAGGTGGGCTGGAAGCATTACTGTGGGTGCATGTCTACTACTTGTAGGCTTGGGCTGCGCCATGAGAGCCGAGGTGACTAAGTGAGGGAAGAGGGAAGAGGAGAGATAGAGGGATATGGGCCCAAATTGGTCTAATAGAGCTCAGAGTTGCATATATCTGACAGCAGCACCTTTGGAATGGCATAAAGCCAAAATCCCAAAACTTTATAATGGCATATTTCTATACCCGCAACTTTAGGATGGCACGGCAAGTCTGCATGTGCCTAATTTTCCTGCAATAAACAGAAGCTAACTATGTTTTTTGAGACCTCTAGAACCTATATTTCCATGTTTAATATGTTAAAATTACTATGGTGTAACGTTTTCACCAGGTAGTTTATGTGCTCATGCTTCTTCCCACCGTTCAAATTTATGTGAACAGCCATTTGGCTTTCTTGGATTTACTTTGTGAGTTTCAGTCTTCATTTTTGATAAGAGAGAACTTATCCTTTGTTTTATTCTTGCGTGATCTTTTTTGGATGGTTTATTTCTTATCCTGTGTTGGAAAAAAACTACTGTATACTGTGTTTTTCTTTTTATACTATCTATAATCTATTGTGGGTCCCTGGTTGACTCATGGACCTATGCCTTTGGTTTTTAATCCTCAAGTCCATTATCTGGAATTTTGATGTTGAATTTCAATAGCAGAACCTATGCCTTTGTTTTTTAATCCTCAAGTCCATTGTCTGGAATTTTGATGTTGAATTTCAATTGCAGAATCTGTCTTGCTATTTGTCGAACTGTCACTAAAATTTATAAATACATATTGATTTTTTGTGTTATTATGTTTCTTGATTGTTGTTCTTAGAATTTATTTCCCGTACAAACTTTGCTAATCGTGCATTGTCTTTTAAGGCAGTTATATGCATGATTTTTTTAAGAGAATTTTATGCATAATTTCCTTTTCTTAAGAGGCTGTGCACATGATTTTATTACAGGGATTCCATAGATTTGCATTCACTCCTCAATCATTCATACTATGCGAAGAGTGCAGAGCTTCGTGCTGATCATCTTGGGTTGCACAAAGCTTTGTGTGTTCTTATGGGTTGGAATTACTCCGTAGATCCTGTGCACAAAAAGGCTTACCAAACATTATCTACTGCTGATGCTGAAGCCAATCAAGGAGATCTTATTTTATGGCCACCAACAGTCATAATTGAGAACACATACAAGTCAAAGAATGATGGACAAAAGGATGGCATGAGTAATAAAGAGATGGAGGGCAAGCTCAGAGGTATTCCTCAAATGTTTGCTCTGTCCCTGTGACTTCCTTAGTTAAGATCGGTTAATTTGTTAATGAGCAGAGGTGATGTTTGCTGTCTTTGTGTTTGCTTGGAGGGATTCGTGGGCTGAAAATAACTGGCTTGGATTAAATCAATGAAATTAATTTCCTTAAATATGAGCAATAGTCTTGGCAGTTGGCATTTTTGTGTTATGCATGAGTGCGGATGCTTTTCTTTGACCTTGTTTTTGTGCCTGCATTGGGCGCAATCAATTTCTGTTCTGGTCGGTTGGATGTCCAGTGAAAATGTTCTAGGCCATTTTCGTACACCTTCTTTAGAAGAGAGACTAATATGGCTACCAATCAGAATGACTTTCCAGTTTCCAAATGTGCATTCGTCTATGCGTATACATGCTTTATTGCCATCCTCAAATATGCTTGAGTTTGCAAACTTTCAAAATCAAATAAACTGACCATCTTCTTTTTTATTTTCCTTGCACAAATCTTGAGGAATTTTGGGTGGGTAGGATAGTGCATGTGCCTTATATGCAGAGGTGGCCAATTAGGCTTACAGCGTATCAACTGTCCAGTTACTGAAGCTCAAATTGTATTTTATAATTTCTAGTCTTTTAGCCAATCAATAATCCTTTATTAGTCTTTGGAGGAACCTTTTTTTGTGGCCTTTCCCCAGTTGAAATTCAGCTGCTACTAATATTAAGGTCTTTACAAGTTATACTTGATATTGATACTGCTGCCAAGGTTGGGCGCTATTTAGATCTCAGTTAGTTCAGCTTACCTTTGGCTCTATGTTGAGGCTTCAAACATTGTTTTACCTCAGCAATGGGCTCATGTTCTGTTAACTATTGATTGCTATTGACCCAATTGTTTATATGCGGCTCTGTTTATCCCCTAAATTATATAATTTTCCAAAATATAAAAATATACTGTCAATGATTTACTAAATGAGTCAGATTCCTTTGCTATTAAGGAGTTTGATCTGCCTGATATTGTTCCCTTGCTGAAGTCATCTCAGGTTGCAATTGAGTTGACCTTAGGATTTCTAAGCAGGTTTAGACGAAGAGCCCACTAGGTGCTCTGCGCATTTTAGCATATGATTTTGATACTGTGTACTTGGCAGAAGCTCAAACGGATTCAGACCTCAGTAGGCCCTGCTTTTGTTCACACTTTATTTGTGAATTGTATTTGTATATGCATACTCTTACTCTCCACATTTCATACAAAACTACAAAGCCATATGGCTTATGCTAATCAGCCAGTTTTATTAGGTCATAGATTGTGGACGAACTATGATTTGATCCTTAATATGCTTGTGCTTCTGACACTCCATAAAGCATTTGGATCTTATACCATGTCTTTTCTCATGTGACCATATTAGCTCTGGAGTTTGCTCAAGTGTGTACTTAGGCACATCATCCATCAAGAATATGCGCTACTTTAAATCTGTCACTCTTTCAAATTTACAGATCTGCATCTGGTTTGCATGTGTAAAGTCATACAAACGTTCTTTTGAAGTACACTGTTCCATTAACACATTAATTAAATATTGACATGAATTCCCACTGTTGTCTGTTATGCAGAAATGGGCTTTGTGGGTGCAAGCGTGAAGCCACTCTCTGGAAAGGATGGACAGAGATCCATGCTGGTGAAATTTGCTAGCAGCCTCGCTGGTCTCAGCGAGGCCGAGAGGCTTGCTCAGTCCTTGGAGAAACAAGGCCATGGACGCGCTGAATGGTATCGCGTCCGTAGTGTTCCCCCTGGTGCTGATGGGGGCAGCAATCCGCTGCTTGTGAAAGTGGGCGCAAAGGGGGAACGGACATGGGTCCTATATGGCTACTTGGCGACCGCATGGGACCTGGATGCACTCGACCTGGAGTCGAAGCAAAATGCTGTAATAAAGAGCAGAAAAGAGCTCGATTTGTCATAATAGGATCAACCCTGCTAGAGCTGTGTGTGTTGGAAATCAGTGATTCAGTTCTTGTAATTTATGTAGACAGCAACTGGATGGCGGGAGCAGGAGCATGATTTAAGAGGTTTACCTGACTAGGTCGAAGAGTTGAATTGTCAGGATTTTTTCTATCGAATAGCCGATTTCAATACATAATCCCAAGAACTGATAACTGATTTGGTTGCAAAGAAGTGTTGGAACTCGAAACAGATAGGAGATTCTCACTGTCCACATGACATGCCAGTTCCGGACGTGTCAAGTTGAAAATTTAAAAGTTGAGCAACTGTATTTTAAATGGATGCATGAACATTCTATGTATATATATTCGTCTTCAGAAGTATAACAGTATTTGTCTTCAGAAATATCTGCATTGCAACCATGATAACTCTATACTGTTCCACGTTCTAGCGATCCAGCTACCGAGGGAATAATATTTGCAGCTGAAACAAGAAATTGCGGTAATTCATATGGAATATATGACGAAGCATCCAAGAACAGATGAAACTAAATTTATTATCACGAAAATCTGATAAATGCTGTAGTCGGACAAACTCATGCTATATACATCAATTCATTCATCAGAATTATAATAAATCTTGAGCACATTATCCATATATGTTTGAACACCAGAGTACATACATAGATGACCGGAACTACTATAACATCACAAACTGTGCGTTTCCAAACTTATTTTTCTAGCATTGGGTGTCATCCAAACAGGGGGAGGCCAGTTCGACCAAAGCTGAAGTGACACAATTTCCTCAGCGCAGTTGTTTTCCAGGTTGAACACTCCAATATCACGGCAGCCATTCTTGCATCCTTTAATATAGAGCTCTCTATCATCACTGAAGTAGACATGATTCGCCTTCAGCAGAGGATATTCATCAGCACGGAGACAAAGCGATTGGTTGTGCCCAAGAATCAGCACATTCTCACCCAAGTCGCATGCTTCCACGAGCATTCTCGCTACCAAGTCAACCTTGTGTACTTTGATCATGGTGGTATTCCAAACATAAGACTCATCATCATGGTCTGCCTCGAGGTCATCCGATGCATCTTCATCCTCGTCATCCAGCGGATCGTACGATCTCCACACCTGCAATAGATCACCACACGGAGTTCGGACAATGTACATGTTCTCGCATGCAAAGCCCTTCACCTTGTTCAGGACTATCTTCCGTGCGATTGCCGGGCCACTGAGATCATACTCATGAATTTCTCCTGCTGATGTCAAGGCATACAACAACCCATCCCGGAATATGCAGTCCTCATAGTCTTTGTGTGGCGGCAGCCAGGTCCACTTATCATCCCCTGGTCTCGCAATCGAGAGCTGCAAATGAGGATTGTGGATGAGCACCACAATAAAGTTTCCCCCAGATGGATCAGAAGACACGATCGCCTTGCTGAAAAGAAAATTCCGCAGCTCATCCGGAGCAAGGATCGAGGGTGAGTCGGAAACCGTCATCTGTCCTGTATACCATGAGTACTTGTACTTGTGGACAGCACCGGAATCGTCGAAGATGGGCTTCACCTGCTCAATGGTGGTGACAGGTGCCAGGGCGATCTGCTTGCCGGTGATGGGGTTGACAAGGTGCAACTCAGACCTCTCGTCGGCGGTGATAATCCAGCCATGGCTGGATCCGATGATAAACCTACTAGGCAATGCCGGATCCAGGAGAGTCAACATGTACGCCTTCTTTTCCGCTAGGCTGTAGAGACCTGTCGCCTTGGTGCCGTCAGACTCAAATGTGTACAGCAAGCATGGTGTCTGCTGCGGCTTGCAGTGTCCAAGGCTGCATATACTTGTGTACGCAGATCGCCAAGAGTTGCAGACGGAACCGGCCCGAATGAGGTCAAGGATCTCCAGGGTGCTAAAGATGCTCATCAAAATGTCCTGTGGGAGCTCCATCAGTGCTACTGGATGGTGAGATTTATTAAGCAAACTACTCCCCTTGCTATCAACTTATCCTGATCTGATCCTTCAGAGATTTACTAAGAAAACTACTTGCAGTTAACTTATCCTGATCCTGAGATCCTTCAGCTGTCCAGGACTCAAATCCCGAATCCCCTTATTGGCAAAGAAGAAACCCCAACTTATTCTTGCTCAAACCTCTCACACTGTCAAAATCATGCTGCTGAATCACTGAAGGCAGCAGCAGCAGCACCCCAAAAGCAGAGTTGTAGTTCCTCCTTGTGAAAACCCCACCTCTAATCCCTAGTTAACAAGCAGCTATTCTTGCTAGAAATAATCGTCTTCCTGGTGTATGTACCTATATAGGAGTAATAAATAAAAGCAAAGCCGATCTCTGCCCGAGTAGGAGATTGACGAACTAGACTCCCGCTGTTTGATTGAGCCCTAGTCCCAAACGGACTAGGGCAAGAAATCCCCCACAACTGACATGACATTCAGATCCCGCCATTGCCCATTCATTGCCAATGCCTCGACCAACACTGGGAAGATCTATTACCGACCGAGACCAACCATGTGGAAACCTCCAGCCGCAAGGAGGCTCGGAGCGCCGGATTCTTCTTCCCGCTGCCGCGCCGGAGGAGGAAGGCCGCGAATCGGGGCCAGGGGGATTCGTGGTTCGTGGAGGGAGGAGGAGAAAGGGCGGCGGATGGGAGAGCGAGAGAGAAAATTGGCATAATCCCATCGTCAAACAGGTACCATCCGGGCTTCGCCGAAACACCATTTTCTTCTAATTATCTTTTTCCTCTAATTTTTGCTGACCAAAATACCAAGCAATCATATAGATTACATAGTACATATCACCCAAATATCTTGACATGCTATATTTTCATTACACTAAATTACAGAGTATAAGACACTATCTCCACAGCATAAATAAAAAATATTTTTTACATCACTAAAAACTGAGAGTTTCAGTTGAGAGTGTCTTTTTTTGATGTTGTGGAGATAGTACGCTGCATATTATGTATTCTGGTGCAGAGAAAAAAAATAACATGTAAAAATATTTTAGCGTATTTACTTTATAATTTATGTATTTTTGATATACTTAAATTGGTTCAATTAGGGACATTTTGGTCAATAATGATGAGAGGAAAGAGAGAATTGGAAGAAAATGGCATATGGGCAAAGCCCATCAATTGAGAATGGTATTTCGGCGAATCCTAACTGCATAGTGGTATTTAGGCGAAACCCCTTTTTGACAATGGTAAAATGTCAATTTTCTCGAGACGAGATGACACAAGTATGCGACCAATCAGGCCCACGTGAGGTTCAGAGCCCACGCGGGTGCATTTCCGAGCCCGTTTAGTTCTAAAGCCCACGTTTTCGGATGCGGTTTCCCCGTTCCCGCCTCTATTTTCGATCCATGTTTTGCGAATCATAAAATCTACATAATGGCATATTGTCCTAACGGGATAGACTAATGACCACCCAATGCTCCATGCCTCATCTTGACTCGTCGTCTACGTAGCGTCGTCCACCACCCACTGCGTGTTCGCTGCTCCCTCCGTCCTCTGTCCCCCTCTCCGCGGCTACGACCACTAGCTACTGGCCACCGGAAGCCGTTCCCTTGCTGCGTCAACTGCAACCCTATCTGAGCCGGTCATCGACACTATCTCCGAGAAGCCAACAGGAGTATGGCCGCGAGGAAGGCTGCATAGGGCTAGATGTCCACGGAAGGATGGAAGAAGATGGGGGAATGGCTTTTCTAGGAGTTTGTCGTCTGCATCTACTCACAATTTTGTCTTCTTTGGTTGGTGCTTTGATTTCGTGCTCAGGGTCAACGGATGGATAGGGGTACATAGTGTTGGAGAGAGGAAGAATATGACTTATTTGGTACCAAACGATACTTCTAGGAAGTAGGAACCATACTTTTATACCTTTTTTTCGTTGTTACCTGGCCTAATATATAGTGTGGTTCACCTCGTATACCAACCGGGACTAAAGATCCTAACTTTAGTCCCGGTTGTTGTTTCTAACCGGGACTAAAGTTTATATAGATATTTAATTCCGGTTGGTATTAACAACCGGGAGTAAAAATCAATATACCGTATATAATACCTTTGCACGTATCCTCAAAAATTTATATCTCCTATTCCTCCTCACTCGTATCCTTTCCTTATCTTCCTATTCCTCCTGTCTCTCTCACACACAGTCTTATCCTCTTTTCCCACAGTGCCGGCAAGGAGCGGGCGGCGGCGGCAAGAGATGCGCATGGAGGAGGGCGGTGGGTGGCGGGAGACGACGCGGTAGTGGCCGATGGCCTGCGCGGCAGTGGGGCCAGCGGGCGGTGGTGGCCCGCGCGCGCGGAGGAGGAGGCCGGAAGGGCGGCGGGCCGCGGGAGACGGCGCGGCAGCGGCCGGCGGCTTGCGGGGCAGTGGGGCCAGCGGGCGGCGGCGGCCTGTGCGCGCGGAGGAGGAGGCTGGGAGGGCGGCAGGAGACGGCGGCAGGTCATCGGTTTTTTTTTTTAAGAATTTGTGATTGGAGATCTAAGATATATTTGATTTGTGTGTGATGTATTCATGTGATGTATTTGTGATGATTTTTGTAGAGCTTGTGATGTAATTTTTTAGAATTTGTGATGTATTTGGAAATGATTGATTTGAGAATTTAGAGATATCTTCTGTTATGTGATCTGTTGGATTTGTGATATGTGATGATTTATTTGGGGATGATTTGGGGATAGAGTGAAATCAATATTCAATGTTAAAAACAATAAAAAAAAGTAGCAATCAGTCCTGGCCTGGCTACATCTTTAGTCTCGGATTCTCTCTTTCGGTTTACTACCCGGGAGTAAAGGGGGTTACGAATTGAGAGAGATGAGGAGTTCTCTAGTAGTGGTACTAGAATTAATATAAGAGGAGCGATGAAGAGAGAAAATGCCTTGGACTTCCGAAAGAAAATCAAAATAACCAGATTTGAGCTCATGTTTGAAATCCTTCAAAAATGGAGGCAAAGAATGATTCCAAAGAAAAAAAATTGCTAGCGCAAGGACCACGTAGAAAATGTTTATATGAGATTTGAGTTTTTTTTAGTATTGTTCAACCTTACTAAATTTGTGTAAGTTTCGATGTCGCCGAATTTTTATAGCTGGTTGCATGTATTTAGTTTGATGCCTTTCTAAAATTTGGTAATGTTTTTATTAGAGGAAAATTCTGAAACTACCCACCTTTTTAGATTATATTAGTAAGATTAAAAATGGCAATAAACTGAATATGCCCATCGTGCCCCATACCAAAGTACTCCCTACTTGGGTGGTTGGTTGTGGTCAGTGACCTCTATGTTAAATTGGGTGCGTGAGTATGTGCTCATGTGGTGTTATGCGTTGCATGGAACCTATTGTAAGGTTTAAGTCTAAATACTCTTTGTATTAGTTTTTGGTAAGGGTGTAAGCGGACAGACATGTAAACCTGTCTATTTGTACTATAAACGGGTTCACGGTCTGTCGCTTGCACCCCTAGTTTTTAACCGTACACATTTTTTTTTGTGTGGAGGCCGGGTTTTAACACATTTTTTAAAAACCTGGAATGTACCAACTTAATTTTCTCGTCCCATAAAAAAACAATCTAGTATCGAATGAGACATTTCTATTTTTATAGTACTAGATATATCATGTCCGGTTCTATATTTGTTTTTTATGTGACGGAGGGATTATATTGGAGAGGGGTGTTTTGCGAAAGAGAAAATATTATGAACGCTAACATCCTGGGGGCACAAGGGCAATTTGCAGAACTAGAGGTCGTGTCCAGAATTAGATCTTAGCCGTTGGATCGAGATGTGCCGTCCACTCATCCCACGTTCCTCAAACACTCCGGCCGCCGCCTCGCCGGCGCTTCTACCGCTTCTCTCGCCGGAGAGATGGGCGCCCCCTCATTCGTCTGCTTCAAGTGACCATGGGGCCCCGAACCCTCAAGTCCACCTGCACCGTGCCCTGCATCGCCGGGGACCTCCCCTCCCCCTCATCTGACGGAGGAGGCGGAGGTGGAGCAGCGGGCGCTGGCGAGAGGGAGGGACGCGGCCTGTGTGGGTCGCTGCAGGGGCTCGTGCGCGATCTCGAGGACGGCGCCGGCGTGCGGGCGGGCGGGCCGGATTCGTGCTCCCCGACGCCAACGACGACGACGACCGGTGGCTCCCCAAGGTGAGGCGTCTCGCCTTCTCGTGCCAATTTCATTGCTCCGCGTCCCATAGATTTGTGATGAGGATTTGGGCGTTAGTACTAGTTTTCAACTACTGCCCTAAGCCCTGGCAATGATCTACAGAGTATTAAGTCAGATTGGTCTCCTGATTCTAATTTTGAGCTGAGATGATTTACTAGCACGCATTGTTTTGGTGAGAAATGTCGTTTTTGTAGGTTTTATGGTAAATTGGTGACATTTGATGAGTGGATTGGATGTCGTGTGCCATATTTCTGCTTTAGAAATTATTACATGAAAACGTACATGAATGCATATGGTGTTCGAATTTCGATATATGAGAACCACACAAATTCGAATTCGGGCATAGACACCACCATTTTAGCTCAATCAGAGGCCCAAGGCACTCATGCATTGCAAGTAACCAGACACTCGGTTGAAACAATCACAGTGACAGAAACAAACCAAACAAACGAAGTCGCTATGAACTTGATGAGGAAGAACCCGAACAGGAAGAGAGTTTTTGGCGCTGTCAAGTGGCAGCATTTTCTGGATTGTATTGAAACTTGAATACAAACAAAATAGTGGTTTTGATGCTACTGCACGCATCACGCCCGTCCTCTTTGTGCGCCATCCCGCACGTCGGGGCATGCCGTGCCAATGACATGACTAACTTGCCCTCCATGCCCGCTGCATCGTGTGCCATCCCACACGCCGGTGCAAGTCAAGCCAACTAGTTAAGGATTCGCTCCGGCTTGAACAAGCAAGCCTCGAGCTTACACTGACTCGAACCAAAGGAAACAGAGCAAAACAGAGTGAGGAGGAAACAGAGAGCAGGATGGAAAAACAAGGGATAACAAGAATTATTCCATCATGCAGAACATAAAAACACGCTCACGCACAGCAGAAAGAACTAAACAGACAAGTAGTGAATGTCAATCCACACTAGCACACACAAACCACACCATGGGATAAAAGGAGATGCTCCTCTGGTGACAAACCTGTTTCTTCCAGCGGAATGGGAACGTCCCAGCATTGTCTTCATCCTCTTATTCATCTCCATTTTGCTTTGTCTTGAGCTTATGGTTTATTATGTTTAAGATTTATGCTTTTATTGTTTTTAATGGCTTCTTCCACATCATTTGGGACTGAGTATCCATTGAACTCGAGCTCCTTCAACCTAGGAAGGTTGTTGATGCCAGAGAGAGAGGTGAAAGATGACCAGACGATCTTCTTGAGCCTAGGAGCTGATCCAGTGATGAAGTTAATCTTGGTGATGGTAGAGCAATCAACACTAAGAAGTTTGAGCCATATGAACTCTTCTTTTTCGAAGGTAATCTGGTTCTGGCTTATGTCAAAAGAGTTTTCCAAGAGCACTAGGCAGCATATATTTAGTTCCCTGGCGATGATTCGTAGATCACCTTGCTTCAGCAATGTACCACGAAGAGTCAGCTTGGCTATTCGTTCAACATTGTAAAAACATGATGATAGCAACCTTCCGCAGCTGCTGCTGTTCAACTCAAGCTCTTCGAATTTTGGAAGCCCATGAACTCCAGAAATAGACTCTATGCAAGTGGAAGATAAAACCATCTTCTCGAGCTCACA